TGGTGCTGGAAAATGCTGTGTTTTGGTTACAAACCAAGAAGGGATGCTTTTATAGTGCATGTGGGACAAGCACAATGACACCAGTGAATTTTGCACCATTGGCCCTGGTCAAAGCTCATGGACTGTGGAAGAGACCGTCTTTAGATTTTGTGGAGACAAATGTAAATGTTACTGCAAATTGTGATCCTGGTTTCTGGTATCCTGGAGCTTCCAGACATTTATTTGATATTTTTTAGATATAGCATAGCAAATGTAAGTGATACTCGAACTTCTGAGAGGTCTTTGAAATATAGCGTGCACATGCACACACACACACACACACACACACACACACACACACACACTTCCTCAGTTCCTATTGAATAAACATGGGTGATATTAACTTCAAACCTAGGCCATCGATTGAAGAGAAGAACTTCAATACATTTACAGAATGTGTGAAAGTAGTAACAGGGCTTGTAGACTGGATTGTCACAGTTTTTCTCACTGCAAGATATAGACAAGTTTGCCCCAATGCCCTTCAGATCAAGTACAAGTAGTATATGAGTCTTGTAGGATTCTGGAACTATAAATGCTGAGGGATATAGTATTTGTCTTGTGAAGCACAACAGGACCACAGTTCTTGATGGGGTCATAGGCTCTCATAACATCAACTAGGGCTTCAAGCACTATATTAATTAAGAAAGGGAGAATAGGGATCCTTGTCTCATTCTTGATTTTAGAGGAGATGCCCTGTCTGTCTCCACTTAATATAATGATAACTTTAAGTTTGTTGTATATAGTCTTCTCATCAAGTATCAGGAACTTTCTGATATGAGTGAGTTTGGATGGTTCTGTAAGCGTTATATCCATTACAACTATTTTGTTTAATCCTATCTTGTATGCTTGCACTGTTTAATTCTTAGTCATCAGAACAAGTTTCTGACTCTATTTCAAAATAGCACCATTGATAGAAATGGGAGTCTGTGAGAATGGCTCAGTCTAATTATTGTCAATGAAAAGTTGTCTTAATGTTATAAATTACGTTCTAATGACCAATAAGTTTGTAACTTCCTATGTCTTTTTTTCTATTTCTTTTCTGGGGCCTTCACAGACTGAATCTCTAACCTTGTGCTTATAGCTTTCAAAGAGCTTTTGATCCACACTTATTATGTGAACTTTAAAAACCATTTAATTCAAATATCAATAGAAATATCTAGCCATCTGTCTTGTATATTCTACAGAACTAATTGCTTTTATTCTGTTCTGCTTCTGTTTACTCTTAGTTAATTCATTAGCATTTGACCTATCATTGAATCCTGACCTCCCAGACCACCCTTAACACCCCCTCTCATTCATCTCATTTATCATTAAATTCCTTACCATTCAATACATTTCCTTAACATTTGCATAGTCCTATTCATGATACTGACTTTCCATGTGAATGATCTGGACAGGTCATCTCCTGATCCCTCAGACTGCTTCCACAGCAGGGCCCTGCCTCATATCCCAGACTCTGGTGTGCATCTTTCTACTTTCTGACATTTGAGTTATTGTTCCTAATATTCTTCCTTAAGCACAGTACTCTATTGTATTTAACAACTCTTTCTAGCTGTGGGCTCAACCTTGCATTTGATTGATTTATTAGCAGAAGTGACTAACTAACAAAAGGTCAAATTATCATAAATTATTACTTTAAGTATGTCTAAGTAGGGATGCCAAGATAGCTTGTTGGGTAAAATTATTCAACACTGAAAAAAATAGCCTGGAAACCTAAGTTCAGTTTCTGGGATCCACACGAAGGTAGAAGAGAGCCATTTCTACAAAGTTGTCTTCTGGTCTCCATGCATTATATATCTACATACATAAAAATTATAAATTTGAAAAAATTACAATTCTGAATATATTGTTTAAATGTTTGCAATTAACAAAAAATTAAATTGGCCATAATAGAAATTAAATTATATTCAGTTAGGCTAGATTATAAAACATTTCTTATATGAAAATATAGGAACACGTATGAGGTGCTGGAGAGATGACTCAGCAGTTAAGAGCACTGAATCCAGGTTCTTTCACAGGACCCAGCTTCAATTCTCAGTATCTACACGGCAACTCACAGGTGTCTGTAACTCCAGTTCCAGGGTACTCAGCATCCTCATGCAGGCAAAACACCAATGCACATAAATAAAAAAATTAAAAAGAGTATGAATGAATGCATCATAATTTAAGAAAGTGAGTTGTCCTTCAAGAGCTAAGTCTTTTTTGTTTCACAATTAATTGTTTTTAAAAAATGCCAATTAAAAGAAAAAGTCAGGTTGAAGAAATGACCAGTGGTTAAGAGCACATACTGTTCTTGCAGAGGACCCAAGCTTGGATTCCAACACCAACATCCATGGCTCACAAGTACTTTTAATTCCAGCTCGCTCCATAGAAGTGATGCTCTCTTCTAACATCTGTAGGTGCCTGTACTCACAAAAACATGCCCAGACACAGATACACACACACACACACACACACACACACACACACACACACACACACACTAAAAAATATAACAGATCTTTTTAAAAATCTGAGTGTATCTTTTTGAAAGATTCAACAATATGTTGTCTACAAGAAAATCGTTTTTAAAGTAAATGAATCCATAGATTAAAAGTAGAGGGAAGGAGAATGATAAAGTTGAAATGGCTGTATTTATTTCAGATAGAGCTAAGTCAAGGCCAATGATGATTGTTAAGGATAAAAATTGCCATGATACAATAATAAAAGAGTCCATTGTTTTGTTAACTTAATCAGCTGTTGTGTTAAGTATTGAACCCAGGGATTCAGGCACGGAAGCAAATCCGCTGTCATTTGAACCATACATTTGAGTCTTATGATAGAGATTTTATTCACATATATGCCATATAATCACTTAAGGTCTTAACAGTAGGAAACTTTGTCCAGCCGGTGAAAGAAGAGGGAGACAGTGATTTTCAAACAAGGAGAGAACTTGAAGAAATGCTGCTGGATTAAAGAAGGCTACATTAGAAAGGATGTTGGCATTCACAGGACCAGAGAGAGTTCCCTGATTATTGTCACTGAAGAGTGGAGACCTCAGCCTAAGATTGAATCAAGCAGACAGAATCACAAGTATAACATCATGAAGGTATCTCCTTCCCCAAGCCTTCAATCTTGACCTACAGTTAGAATGAGGTGAATGAGCTAACAAATGGAATTAGTCTGGAAGCAGATCCTTCCCTGAGCCTCTATTTAAGAGCTTAGGGCTGGCCAGCACCTGGATTTCATTCACATGACACTTTGAATTATAACCCAACAGAATATTCCTAGACTTTCCTAAGGAAAAAAAAATGGGATTTTTTTGTAAACCATTATGGTTTTAGTAAATGGTAATAATAAAATTAAAAATAATAAATTGCATGAAAAAATTAATAACTTTACTATTTAAATACTTTAACTTTCTTAGTGCTAATTGACAGATTCAGCCAAGGGAAAAATCAAAATCAGAAACATATCATTGAGCTAAAAGGCACTATAAATCACCCCAAACTAACTGCATTTATAATGTACTTCAGCACATAAGAGCATACAACATTTTTCCCCAAGCTTACATGTTGGAACATTCATCAAAACTGAACATATTTGGGGAGAGAAAGTACATTTTAATTTTTTTAAAGTGAAAACTGTGTGAAATATACTATGAAATCAAAACATAATTAAGCTGGAAATGAACAAAATCAGAAAGACAGGTAGAAAACAAAAGGAGATTAAACAACTTCAGATAGTGTGGATTTATCATGACGTTTCCATATTAATTAAAAGTTTTTTAATTGAATGAAATGAATATTTTCATTGAAATAATGGTGGGTCACAGTAAATGCATTGAGAGCATTGGTTGTATGCATTAAAAAAGATTAGTCATAGGAAATGACCAATCCAAGCTTCCAACTTAGAAAATTAGAAAGGAAAACATCAAAACTATTTGGAAAAAATAAATACTAATAATCAGAGTGGAAAGTGATAAAAAGGAAATAATGCCCATGATGAGTAAAAAGACTCCATATTACTAATCTACCTCTTCCTGACTTCTGTAGAATCAATGCAGATTCAAGCTAAACCAGTCAGGTTTGTTTGTGATACCTGAAGCTGAGTTTTTAAAAAAAATTATTTTTATTTATGTGTGTGTGTGTGTGTGTGTGTGTGTGTGTGTGTGTGTGTGTGTGTGTGTATGTGTGTGACAATGTGTAGTACATATATGCTGGTGCCTGTGCTGAGAAGAGGATGTTGGAGCCCCTGTAGCTGAGTTACAGTTGGTTGTGTGCCATCTGACACAGGCGCTGAGAACTGACCTTTGACCTTCTGCAGAAGGAGTAAGCATACAATTGCTGAGCCTCACCTCCATTCTTTATAACTGGATTTAAAGATTATAAAATACCAAAAGTTTTTTAAATAACCAGTGCATCACTGAATAAAAACTCAGTGAATTGACACTATATAAATTAAAGATTCACTATAAGGCTAGAGGAATCAACAGTATATACTGAACAATTGAACATCCGTATTTGAAACAATGCAACAAAACTAAGCAGATCACACATTTCCCCTCCAACTTAAGATAAGATGGACTATAGGACAAGTGCCACAAACACACCATAAAAGCCACGGAAAATAATCAAGGAGAAAACGTGGGCTTTACTGGATTTGATATCAACTAGTACATGCTATTCAAGAAAAGGATGATAATGGGTATTCATTAAATTTTATGCTTTATATACACTTGAAAGCTCCTAGAACTTTGCAGCACAAAGGGTGAAGGAATGTGTCTCTGAAATTAAGTGGGCAGTAATGACAGCATTGGCTTGTGAACTATAGTGGAGATGTTTCACTAATGTAAGACATTACAAATTGGGAAAATTAGGCACAGAGAAGGAGAATATGTGAATATCTAGTTTTTCTAGAAAGCTAAAATGTTTTCATAATGTTTAAAAAACATAAAATAAAGATAATTTCATACAATTAAATAAAGACTGGCAGTATTTATTTGAATTCTCTAAACCTCAGCTCTTTTGGAACACAACTAGTTTCCAAGGAGGAAGCAATTTCCACTCCATAAATAGCACGATGGGCAGAAGGACTTTAAGAACATTCTCATTTGGGAGTGAACTTACAGGCCACAGACCATGTATCTCATCACTGGAGTCGGTTCACCACACCTCATGACACGTTATAACAGAAAACAAACCATTAGATGGGAGCACAGGAGTGATGGTATGGGAAGCTATTCTGGTGCACTTTCTTTCCATTTTGCTGTAAGATAAAACCTGAGAGAGGAGGGGAGTAAGAAAAGGTGAGAAAGTGAGAAACAGCACAAGACGGTGTTCAAAATCCAATGAAGCAAGAGAATGAGTGCCGAAGTACAGTGCCACGTCAGTTGGTTGCCGTAGGAGTCACTTGATTAACTTTCTTTCTTTCTTTCCTTCCTTCTTTCCTTCCTTCCTTCCTTCCCTTTCACCTCCCCTCCCTCCCTCCCTCTCTACCTTCTTCCTTCTTTCCTTCTCCCCACTCCCTTTTTTTTTTGAGACAGGGTTTCTCTGTGTAACAGCCCTGGCTGTCCTGTCCTGGAACTCGATTTGTAGACCAGGCTGGCCTCCAACTCACAGAGACCTGCCTGCCTCTGCCTCTCAAGTGCTGAGATTAAAGGCCACCATGCCCAGCTTTATTCACCTATTTCTACTATCAGATATTTTCCTCTCTGTTATGTTGTCAATTAATTTTCTTTCCTCATGACTCTTACTAACTGTCCAGAACTGATTTATTTGTGAGTGCAGATTCTGTCTTGTAAGTCACTGCATCTTCACCACCAAATATGCTTCTTAACTAGTATTTATTGACTAAGTTAATCACTGAGTATACTTTACTATATTACACTAAAGTATGCAAACATTTTTAAATTATAAAGATACTGACATGCAGGAGTGGCTGTCCTTTCTTGTGGCCATATCAAAGTAACAAGATTGGGTGGTTTACATACAATAGGAAGGAGACAATGGTAACAGCATGGTAAGAGCCTTTCCTGGTTGCCCACATTGGCCTTTGCATGGCTTCACACTGTAGAAAGAGCACAAGAGAGCTTTCTGAGGTCTCTTTGTTAGAGCGCTAACTCCATTCTTGACAGCTCTATTCTTGTGACATAATCACCTTCCAGAGCCCCTACCTCATCACACTGAGAATTAAAGATTTCAACAATAGAGCCTGGGTTCACATAAACCTTTAGACCATAACAGCCACAGTGTAAAATAGTTATATGACTTATATTCTTTACATATTCTTTATATTAATTGAGTATAATAATTGTCATAACTGTCGGCTTACGTCCTTGCAATCTGACTAGTAGGTTGCTTATTGTTGCTGGACCAAGCTGTAGAATAAAGCACTCCCTTCTCATTCTGAGTGATAGCTCAGTCTACCAAATTGGACTGTGTTGCTTCACTTGGCAACTTTTTTTAGAAATATTTCTTCTACTGGTGATCACCTCACTTCTGCTTTCCAGAATCTTTAAATATATTTAACCTGGTACTTGACTGCACTTTGTATCCTTAAAATAAACCTAGGAGGGCAAAAGGAATATACCTCACTGGTAGAGCATTGTGCTAAGATATGAAAGGTCTTAGGCTAATCACTTTGTAATCATGCACATACACACACACACACACACACACACACACACACACACACACACACCACACCACAGCACACACAGAATGATCCAGAGTTTAAATCAATATATAAAGATCATGTAGTTATAAACAGTTATAAAGTAAAGCATAGCAGTAATTATTACAAATTCATATTTGGCATATTTTTAATTGTTGACTTGGTTGCCACTTTGACATAGTATTCAGCTATTACAGCATATTAACCTTAAGACTGGTTATTGATTATCATCTCCTCAAGTGCAAAAAGTAGGGTCTCAATCAGTTTTTTCAGACCTCTTGGAAACCTTAAGTTCTTTCATGGTTCATTTAATTAAATGTAAAACAGCATTTACTAGTTGTAATCTGCCAAAGGAGAGATGAATAATGTGTTCTACTTTTAATGGACTGCAGAAATGGAAGGAATTTCAATTTTAATAGGACACTAGAGAATGACTAGATAAAAAGGAGGCAAAACTAAAAGGGAGTTGTCCCACATCAGCAAGGACTGCTCCAGTGAAGCCTGGAATCCTGTACCTGCAATGAAGTCTTTTATGTTTTTAATGAAATACTTCTCATGGATTGTACATAAACTGTTAAATAATGTATGCAACTATACAAAAGAATGGTCTGTCATCCTAAATCTGAGGCCTGTGAAGTAAAGAGTTTGAAGGAGAGATAATAATTTCTTGAAGAAATAATTACAAAACAATGGAATGATTATGGTTTAAAATGTTGAAGGTACCAACTAATCTGACTTGGCTACCTAATACTTATACCTAAAAATGAATCGCCCCTATGGCAAAAACTCAGATGGAAATCTGAGTATGTATACAAAATGTGGAAGCTAAAACATGCCAGTGTGAGTAAACTGGATTTTGTAAGACCAAATAATACAGATTGAATAATTTTAATTGCAGAGTGGGATAATTAGATGTTGTACACTTGGGAGGAAACTCCCAGGGAGAGCCTACAGAAAGGATATATCAACATTTACATTTGAACCTAGACCGGGTTACAGTATATCAGCATAAAGTTGTAGTAAAACTGACAAACGGCAGTACGTATCCTTTGAAAGTTTGGGGATATGTGATTGGCAATATTGACATTTTTATAGAAAATATGCAAAAATTGAAAATTGAAAAAGAAATGGAGTTCTTACAGTAGGAAGGAGTAAGTACAATACAGAAAACACTATTAAATAGATGACATTCTTAACGGAAATGTCTCCAAAAGAGTTGTGGGAGTGCACGACCTAAGCACCCTGAGGTTTTGGAAAAGAAGGCTTTTTCTAGGTTGGATCATAAAGTGAATGCTACAGCCACAACAGGATTCTGAAGTCTACCTTAGTGAGGGAGGCTTCCTCCAACTCCTTTTGCACACGTCTCCTTTATTGCCAAGACGTGTTTGCTCTACACTTGGCTTGTAGGTAGGTATCCTATTGCCAGTCCTTTGATGAGTCTAGTATAGTTAATATACTTGTGCTGTAAGAGCTATTTTATCAAAATTATATTAATTTTATTAGTTTTAAACCCACATCTGAACATTGTTTGCTGCTTAATCATTTTTCTTAAATGCTTAAAAATGTTGAGTCTCAGTCAGAAAACTGGTTATTGTATAACATTTTTGATCACATAGTGATAATTTCTGTGCTTTAGCTGTTTTTCTATTAATGCAGGTCATTTGCACAAGTTACTAACTCAGTGGTCATCACTATTATTAAGGACTGTGACAGAGAAATGTAATTTAAAGAGAAGAAATTTTCTGTTCACCATGATGACTATAGAGAGCAATGTCTGGTGTATCATATGTCATGGTATAATGGATCCTGCATCAACATGCAGAACACTTTCAAGTTATGTGATAGTGGACAAATGAGTTAATCTCTCTGGGCTAAATTTCTTAATTTATAAAATGAAGATAATATCAACATCTATATTTCATTGAATTGATATAAGGATTAAGTGATTTAATATATTAAGACTGATGGAACAGTGCCTAGAACTTGGTAAGAGTTTCGCAGAAGTAGTATACAACTCAGTTTAGAAAGAAAATATATGCAACAATGCTTTCCAAATTTGCTGTCATAGGCCCACCCCTAAGAACAGATGAAAATAAAAAAAACCCTGTCATATTCAAAATGGCTCCCAGTTGCTTGGCTCAAGCAAGTAAATTTCTGTTAACAAACATACAAAATGATTTTGCATTTTATAGAACTCACAAACTGGTCTATATTAACTTCTGTCTTCAAATTTTTAGTTAGCCATTATTTCTTTTGATAAAATACTACCCAGAACTCCAATGAGGCCCTAAGCTGTAGCTGGCCTCCATCATGGAATGTCCACTTCTAAGTAGGCCTTGAGTTACCATGTGGAACTCCAAACTTCATGGACGTGTGTGTGTGTGTGTGTGTGTGTGTGTGTGTGTGTGTGTGTGTGTGTGTGTAAGCCACTGTTCTTATCAAGCCTTTTCATTTTGCACAAGATGTTCAAACAAAGGCTCCCCCAAGTCACCCCAGCCTTAGAAGAGGAACACTGCACTGGAGGAGGAAGCATTTAAATCAGAGATTCTGCTCTGTCATTGTCTATCTGACTTTGAATAAATCGTCTCATTCTTTCAGAGTCTCACTTTCCTCATTCTTAATTAGACATTTGGTTTGCATAGTATCTGGGGTCTATTCTTATTATATAATTATTTAATTCCAACAGCATGATTAACTTTATGTTACTATATTCTTTCTGCTGCACTCATGTAGAATTATAGTCTACTTTGAAGACTTTGAGAGGGATACCCAAGCAGATAAATCTTAAAATTCCAATCTACATCCTTAGAGCAGTATATATGCAAACTTTATGGTCTGTGGCACTACATCAAGAGTGGGTGGTTATGTTACCAGGTTTCCAATAACTATGCAGTGTGTCTGCATTTGACATGAACGTTGTTATCCAAGGAAATCTGCCAATTGTTGACTCATATAATTCCTGCAACATCCTTTCTTATCATCAGTCTTACATAACTACAACTTAACTAGCACTAAGTAATAAAACGGCACATTGTATATTGAAGTTGCATTAAAAGTCGAGCTAGGAAGGTACCCCACAAGTAGAGAATACTCATTCACCCCATGCAAAAGGGGTCTATCTGGTATAGATACAATTTTGTACAAGAGTTTAATAACCAGTATTTATGAGATGCCTTTTTGAGAGACCTTTTCTTTCACATTTAATAATATTAATATTTCTAGACAGTTTTACCAAGTGACTTTTTATGCTCCATCTGATCAAATAAATTGTATACCAGTGGTTTTTTTGTTTGTTTGTTTGTTTTGTTTTGTTTTTCGAGACAGGGTTTCTCTGTGTGGCTTTGCGCCTTTCCTGGATCTCACTTGGTAGCCCAGGCTGGCCTCGAACTCACAGAGATCCACCTGTCTTTGCCTCCAGAGTGCTGGGATTAAAGGTGTGCGCCACCACTGCCCGGCATATACCAGTGTTTTTATAAGCAAAAACTAACCATTTCAATGTTTGTTATCTAAGTATTTGGTGGGACACCTTCATGATGATATTCTGAAACACTATATTTGGGAAACAGTATTGTGAAGGTTCTTTTTGTGGGGATGGTCTTTGCATTTTCCTCCTGGAGTTCTCTACAGTAAATTTCCATAGATACTAATTGTTAAAACATTTATTTTTCTATTTCTACTATTGTTTTAACTGCAATCAACATACATACTATAAAACAGGTTGCCTTAGGAGCATAAACTAAATGAGCATAATGGAAACTATTGGTTTCTTGTGGTTTCCTTGACCTACTCTTGGCCATAAGGAGTGGGAGATTAACAAAATTACAATTTTGTTTATCTAAATAATTTTGTTGTTATTTACTACAATGTAGTACACATTAAAACTTAATCATACATTTTAGTAGGATACATTTTGGGGGTATTTAATTAGTATATTAAGTATAGTTTGTTTCTTGCATGTCAAAAATATTATTCATGTTCATTATAAGGAAATACTGTCCAAACAGGAAGATTGCAGTTTCTGTTCTCAGATAGCTGTCTTCATTAACTTAGAAGCATGGGGCAGTTAAAGGAGAGACTTAGGGTACAGGATTTCATAGAGATTGCCTTACTTTTTACAAATTCCTGTTATTTGTAAGTATACCTTTGCAACAGTTGTTCATTGATGAGAACTTGTTAAGAGTCGTCCAAAATATTAAATATATTAAACATGGTTCAGCCCATAAATGTTTGTTTTATCCCATATTCTTTTTGCAGAAAACAGAACAATTTGGGAGTTTATTGCCACATAATTTACTTTACAATGGCTGTTCCACACTGAAGCATACTTGTATATTTGATAAGACATTGCCAGGTGGGAGTCAGGGCCTTCAATCAACTGTCCCAGTTGCAAACAT